CTGTTCAATCCATTTTTTTTGCATCTTGGTAATTGATGTGTAATACAATAACCTTAACTGACTCGGGGAAGGGGTAAATGGGTATGGTAGACATTCGGATTGCACAATACGGAACGAGTGACTCGCTAAACTTAACAGATACATTTCAACAATACATTTCAACAACACAAAAATACAGTTCAACAATACATTTCAACAACACAATACATAAATAATACAAGATAAAGTTTAGGGTACAAGGAAACAAAACAATACGTAAAGTGATTGTCATTACAAAATAAAGTACTACACAAAAACAATACGTAATCATGCTTGTCTTAGTCTCAATGGACATGTACGAATGTTATGTCCAACTTGCTTGCAATGCTTACATCTGCTCTGACTGCTCGAGGGTTGAGACTCAACCCAATCCATCTCATTCTGAATCCTTGAAGACTTTGGTTTTCTTTTTGCACGTACCAACTGAGCATCCGGAATTACAGTAGGCCCAACAACGGATGGAATCAACAATTCATTGCCAATAGGAAACCAGTGTGCAGCATATACTTTAGCAATGGTTGGAATTTTGAAAACATGATCCACATAATCATAATGGTTTAACTTGGCTACCTTGCAAACTGCTAATACATGACTGCAGGGATAGCTCCTTGCTGTAAACCTACCACACTGACATGTACGATTGATTAAGTCCACTCTCATGGTGTCACCGACCTCGTGTGTAGATTGATTGTAGGCATCCTCAACCTCAAACAATAACAGCTCACTATCATATATCCTCACACGATAAGTGCCGGCCAATTCATCATTTTTTTGCAAAGCTGCCTCAACCTTCTTTGAAATTATCCAACCTTGTGAGATATCTTTTTCAATCCCTTCACGTCTCTTGACGAAATACTCAACGAATCTACTGAATGTCATCTTGACCAATGCAGTTATAGGCACATTTCGTGCTCCACGAAGCACCTTATTCACACACTCAGATAGGTTAGTTGTCATATGACCAGACCTACGTCCTGTCTCATCATACGACCTGCACCATTGCTCTTTCGGAATCGCATCCAACCCTGAAGCAACTTCAGGATTGTTCTCGATAAATTCCTTGTATCTAATGTCGAAATTTATCTTTGAACATGTGTACCCTGCAAAAAACCATGACATATGCAATTGGTTAGTGAATTTCATCAACGTTTTCTTCAAATGGTTGAAAATGTGAGTAATTATACCGTAAATTACCTAATTTCATCAACGTTTTCTTCAATTCCACATTCCTAAAACGGGTATTGAAGTTGCTTCCGATGTGACGTAGACAAAATACATGATAAGCATATGGAGGCTGCCACCCTCCGTGATCTTTCACCGCCCTTATGATGCTTCGATGACGATCGGATATTAGACAAATACCATGCCTATGTGTGACATGAAAACGTAAAAGGCTAAGAAACCAGGACCAATCATCCAACCTCTCACCTGGAGGAACAACAGCAAAGGCAATAGGGAGCAGAAATCCATCTCCATCCTGAGATGTTGCAATCAAGAGAGTACCTCTGTACTTCCCATACAGATGAGTGCCGTCAATTTGAATTATAGGCTTGCAGTGTTTGAATGCTTCAATGCATTGGTGAAATGTCCAAAAAACCCTTTGAAATACGGCCCTGTCTATATAAACCCGACGTTCATCAAAACATTGATTTGTATCAAGCTTGAACACAGAACCCACATTCACCTCCGCCATATACTTCAGCCAATTTGGCAAGAATCCGTACGATTTCTCCCAGTCACCAAACAACTTAACGATGGCCTTCATTTTTGCCTTCCAGGCCTTCCTGTACGTTATGTTGTATCCATATGTTCCCTGTATCCTCTCATGTATCAGAGCTGGTCTTGTGGATGGATCTTCCTTTAACATATCTGGAAAAAAAAAATAACTTTACCATATTCTCAATTAATCTGAATCATTAAATACACAGTAGAATACATACTCATTATAGCCGCACAAATGACATTTGAATCCAACTGTTTATGATCCTGTGATAGGCCTTGATTTAGGCATGTGTGACCTTGACCCCATTTACGCACCACCCAATTAGCTCCCTTCTTCGGCTTAATTGCCCTCATATACCAGGGACAACCGTCAGCATGGTTTTTACACTTCATAACAAATCTTGACTCGTCGTTTTTTTCAACTATGGCTGTCCTGCGCCCCTTCATACAATGTATCTTCACAGCATGTTGCAATTCTGGTTTGGACCCAAATTCTTGTTGCACAAATAACGGATCTCCTAATTTCCAACCTCCGTGCAAGTCATCATCGCCATATAGGATCTCCAACTCGTCATTAGGGTGCGCCCAGTTAATGAATGAATAATGTTGGCTTTCATTCCAGAATGGCTCCACCTCAGTCCCTGCATCTAAAGATCAACTGTCATTTGTCTGAATGAATACCACCACAAATAATAAATTGTCTAAAGCAAATGTTCAAATTTAATAACTTACCACTACTGACTGGGTCGACATGAAGTGGTGACAAGGCTGGGGTACCCAGACTTACGGCGCTCATGTCAGCCTCAAAATTACCCTCCACGTCAGTGTCTGACGAATCACCTTCTGGAATAGCACTTTCAGGTTCTCCCTCATCTTCGCTGTCGACATAGTCCTCGTCTTCATCCTCTTCATCCTCATCCAATCCTACCTGAGGAGGTGCAGAAGATCGTACAACTGTATCTTCTTGACCGGTACAGTGTGCAGTAGTGGTTGTATGCACCGGTAAAGATGAAGATTGACCAGCATCAACTTCAACATATATCTCAATATATCTTAATACTTTCCATTCAACAAACGCATCTGTTACGAACTCCACATCTTCTTCATCATTTATATTGTTTCCAATGTAGTATATTGTATCCATATCCACTACAGTCTCTAACCTGGCTATCATGCGGTGGATGGAATTGATGCCTTCTGACCCCATTTTTTGAAGAATTCTCTCCTTCAGTTCATTGCATGTAGTGCCCACTTTGATTTTCATCGTTTTTGTTTTTCCTTCAAATCGGACACCGTTCAGACCTTCAAAATTCCTCCCATTGTAGTAAATAACTATAGGAACCATGTTTGGACTTGAACTCATCTTTCACACAAAAATTAGATCTAGGTTTTGGGTTTGGAGGTTGGTTCAGATTTTTGAGCACAAAATGGGAGTGTGGAGATGTAATCTCAATGTCCCACCAAGATTCAGCTTTCTGAAATGATGAGATGAAATATGTGTGATGTTTCGGATTAGAGAGGGTAAGAGAGAGAGAGATTTGGGGTTTCAAAAACCCTATACCTCGCTGGGGTTTCTGGACGCGATTTACCCGGGTACACTCCTCCATACCCGGGTAAATAATTCAACCATTTTCCCAGATTCAAGAACTCTACCCAGGTACACCCCTACATACCCGGGTAGATAAAAAATTTCAAAATTTACCCGGGTAGGTAAGGGTGTACCCGGGTAGGCTTTGTGGTCAACGGTCAAACAGGGGCAGATTGGTGTTATGTTTGTTGGGGAGGGTAAATTTTCGAAATAGTTTTGAATGAAGGACAATTTGGTAATTAATTATTAATTAAGGGTCATAAGGGTCAAAAAGCCATATATATATATATATATACGGGAGGTTATATTTACAAATTTTTTGTTTACAAATTTTTTGTATACATAATGTAATTTGTAAAAAAAAATTTGTAAACGAATCCTTCACTATATATATATATATAATATGAAAGTTATGATTTATTAAAAATTAGTAATTAATTAATAATTATGATCTAATAAATTATAACAGTTAGATTTATAGAAATCAATATTTAAAATTTGGTGTCAAACTTTGAAATTTGACACCAAATTCTAGCTGTTGATTTCTGTCAATTAATTTTTATCATTTATTAGAAATTAATAATTAATTAATAAATCTAATTTCCAATAAATGATAACCGTTGAATGGTAGAAATCAACAATTAGGATTTGATACCAAATTTCAAAACTTGACACCGATGTTAAATGATCATGCTCCATATATATATATATATATATATATATATATATATATATATATATATATTGTGCGTATATTAATGTAAACTTTGACAAAAATTCAGCATATGTATAATTTTATGAATAATACAAAGTATTGAGAAAAAGTACATAAAGTATTATTATTTTCATTCTAATGATAGTTTGTAGTTATTTTTTTTTTACCGGCAAGTTTTTGTTTTGTGTTTATTATATGAAAGATATAAGTACCTGAATAAGAGAGTAAATAGGTTATATGCAGTAGATTATCAAGCTTCTACATGTCAGCCGGGTTGTTTCTTTAAAATATGAATTGGTATTAATTGAAACACACAAGTTGTTAAAAATAATGATAGTGTGTCTTTTTCTCTGACTGTGATGCTAAGGTTCTCCTCTCATCGTCTTTGTAATTTTAAAGGTACATTGAGGCTTTAGCAGCCGGGTAGAAAATGGAAATAAAAAATTAATAGATGAGTTTTCAATGCTATTTGACTAATGTAACTAATCCCATTTCACCCCCTTTTTCTGCTGGGATGCTAAATAATTAAAGTCTTCGGTCCAAATTGGGTATAAAGAGTCGAACAAGTCTCCCAAACACGTAGAAAAAAACGCGTGCGCAATGCACACCCGAAATTCCGCACCGCATGCCCAAGAACATACAATTATACAGTAATTTATTTTATTTTATTTTGAATCTAGAAAATCTCGTTTCTGTACAATTATGCAAGAATAAGGTTCCATACAATTATATAGGATATTTTTTTATTTTAAATCTGATTTCATTCCTTAGGTTTTCTTGTTTGTCTTTTTTTGGCATACAATTCCAATATTCCATGCCTCATCTCTATAAATACATGTCATTCCTTGTCCTATACACTCTATCCCCACCAACTCTTCTTGTGTGTTAAGTTCATTCCTTAATCAAATTATAGCTATAATTTTACATCAACGTGCCATGGACTCAAGTCACTGCTTGGTATCTGCACTGAATCATCAAGATGTTCAAAGTCGTTTCTTTGACCCATCTTGGCTTCAGAAGCAGCCCCACGTTCCCACGAACTTCGTTTGGCCAAAAGAGTGCTTAGAGGACGCAAATGAAGAGCTTCAAGCCCCATTAGTGGACCTTCATGGTTTCCTCAAAGGTGACCATGAGGCCACACAACATGCTGCTAAACTCATACGCAAAGCTTGCTTGACACATGGATTCTTCCAAGTTATCAACCATGGAGTTAATCCTCTCCTCATTGGTGAAGCATATGATCAAATGGACGCGTTTTTTAAGCTCCCAATTCAAAGTAAGCTAAGTGTTCGTAAGAAACCAGGTTCCATGTGGGGTTATTCAGGTGCTCATGCTGAACGGTTCTCCTCCAAATTGCCATGGAAGGAGACCCTTTCTTTCCCATTCCATGACAATACCTTAGAGCCTGTTGTCACCAACTTCTTTAACTCCTCCTTAGGGGAAGACTTTGAACAAGCTGGGTAAGACTAATAGTTAGTTAACTCGTATCATTTTAATTATGTGTTTTCGTTTCATATAAGATATTATGTTTGGATACTTCTTCATTTTATCTATATCATGATTTATATATATATATAAGAATACAACTAAGTACTTTTTTGTGTGCATTACACAGAGTGGCATTCCAAAAATACTGTGAAGCAATGAAGGAGTTGGGAATGAAGCTAATAGAGCTATTGGCAATTAGCTTGGAAGTGGATGGGTTATATTATAAGGACTTGTTTGAAGATGGTTGCTCCATCATGAGATGTAACTATTACCCATCATGCCAACAGCCAAGTCTTGCATTAGGGACGGGACCGCATTGTGACCCAACATCTCTAACCATACTTCACCAAGATCAAGTTGGAGGGCTTGATGTGTTTGCAGACAAAAAATGGCAGACGGTTCCACCTCGTCCTCACGCTCTTGTAGTTAACATTGGCGATACTTTCACGGTACGTAGGCCCTCAAAATATATATATACAAATGCATAATACTTACAAATGTTTTGTGTTTACATATCTTACTTTGTGGCTATCAATAAATGTACATATACATGGTCTTCGTTATTGTAAGCAGGGATAGGATATACTCATTGTCTTTTTTTTTTTTATTACTTCTTACTACTAATTTTGTTATTATTGAATTAAAATTAAATCAATAATTACAAAATAATATCAATAAAAAACTATTGATTTGATTTTGATCGCACGTTAACAAAATTAATCATAAAAAATAGTATGGAAAGATAATAATAAACTCTTGTCTTGTTATTTTTGTTTGGAAAACAATCTTGTCTTATTATACAACGTGACAAATCAATCAATTCAATGCGCAGATACTTTTATGTATCTGGATTGGTTCTCTGTCAAGGATACTTTACATGTTGAGTCTTTACACTGAAATTACGTGAATAGGTCTATATATATAAATATTAAAATGACGTAATTTTTACATCACAATAAAAATGCGTGAGAATAGCAGCACTCTGTGAAACCACACTTATGAGTCAGACTGTGAAAGATGAAAATTTAATGTTATTTTTTGCAAGTGTAATTTGGTATATAGTTGCTAACTATTCTCTTAAACATTATTACGAGTGACTCTATTCAGGTTTTGAAAGAATAGGTTAAAATGGAGTCAAGTAGCATTGTTTTTTTTTTCTTCTTCTTATAATTAATTGTTGCCTTTTGTTGTTTGTAGTTAAGGAATGAATCTTGGACGGTGTCTAGCTACAAATAAGTCTCTTGACTTGAATAATATTTTTTTTATCTATTTTTTTGTCAAACTATTTAAAATGGAATAACAATGAAAATTTGATTTTGTCGACATTTAAAAAATTATAACAAATGCTAAGATAGTCAAACAGCATTTTCTAGAACATATATAATCTATATTAGTATGCCTCTGAAACAATTATTTTCTTTTATTATCACAATCAAGCAGCACACGCAAATATATATATTCAAATATAATTTCATCCTAATTTATTAGCCAGCAGTCTTTTCTTAAACATTCATAAAATTGAGTCTATTCAAGTTTTGAAGAAAAGGTTTAAATCGAGTCAACTAGCATTTTTTTCTTCTTAAAATCAAATGTTTCCTTTTTTAGTTAAGGTGCGGTACAAATAAGACTCTTGACTGGAGCCATATTATTTTTTATTTAACATTTTGTCAAACAATTTAAAATGATGAAAAGTTGTTTTGTCAACGTTTAAAAAATTATTATACAAAAGCCAAGATCATATCTAATCTATATTAGCGTATATTTGAAGCAGCTCTTTTCTTTTATTATGACAATCAAGCGGCACACCGACATATATATTCAAATATTATTTTATCCTGATTTACTAGCCAGCAATCTTCACGCCTCATGCATAGACGTGAGGCCTCAATAGCGCCATTTCCCTCCCTCAATTCTTTTAATTTCTATATTGATTAATAGAAAAATCAATTTAAAGCAACAAAGTTAAGGTTGCAGTAAGAGGAGCTCCGTAAAGAAGCACTAGCTAGGGACAAAAACTAGGAAGTGGTCAAGAGTACTAGAAAAGTTGCATTTGCAAGTCACGACATGCATGTATATATCTGAACTATATATATTGAACACATACGTGTATTCTACACACACATATATATATAGAAGAGTTATATTGACAAATTTTTTCTTACAAACTTACAAACTACATTAAGTTTGACCAGTCATACACTCTTGATTAAAATATGACTGGTCAAACTTAGTGTAATTTGTAAGTTTATATGAAAAAAAGTTTGTCAATATAATCCTTCTCATATATATATATATATATATGGAGGTGAATAATTTGGATTGATATGAATCTGCTTAGACAAGGAATCATGTAAGGTGTACAAGAATCTTAACTTATTTGTTGGATGTTTAGGCGCTATCAAATGGGAGATACAAGAGTTGTCTACATAGGGCAGTGGTTAACCAGTACAAAGAGAGGAGGTCCTTGGCATTCTTTCTGTGCCCAAAAGAAGACAAAGTGGTGAGACCCCCAGAGGATATTGTGCGTAAGGATGGGACAAAACAATATCCAGATTTCACATGGTCGAATTTGCTTGAATTCACACAAAAGTACTACAGAGCCGACGAAGCTACGCTGCAAAATTTCACCAAGTGGTTGCAATCCTCCAAACCCTTTGAGATAACCAACAAATAGATTCTGTTCTGCTGCATTGCTTTTATTAGAGGTTGAGACAAAGTATCGCATTAAATTGCTCCTTTGTATTTTTCCTATAGTCCAAAACATTAACTTTTCATGTAACTTTATTCCACTACGTACGGCATGTTTAGATTAATTGCAAGAAATCTTAAATATATACAAGTAAGTTCAAATTGCATTTTAGTACTCCCTTTTAATTATTTGATTATTATAACAGTTTCGTCTCTGCTGTTTAAATATATTTTTTTTTTTTTTTTGTAAATAGCTGTTTAAATATTTTTAATTTACGTCATTTGTTTTTTTCCAATGGCCCCAACATTGGTCAATATAGTTGCAATTTGACGCCGGTGCTAAAGAATAAAGAAAAAATGATTATGATGTATCTTATGTATTATGATCTATTCCTGTGGCCCAAAACACATTCCTTCGATTAAAGTCAGAAACATAATAACTAGTCTATGAAACCTCGATCCCACGTCAGCAAACCACTCCTTATCCCAGATTCCACAATTTGAAGAAAAAGTGGGGCTCATTCAATATGTGGATAATTTCCATCCTGAAAATCCCGAGGTGCATGATTTGATTTCAAAAGTTTTGTTTTGTTTTTTCGTTTTTTTTTTTTCAAATACAAGGATGACATTGAAATTTAAATCTATAACCTGAAGCAAATTATTCAAGTTCCTCACCATTAGCTTATTCTTAATGATTTTCAAAATTTTATTGCTATGTACCCGTCTTGTCGTTTCAATTTTAATTTAGCGTTTGGCATGGAAGAAAAGGGGCAGGATGACACAATGTTTGATTCAAAGTTCTTATATCAATTGTCAAAATTATATTTGTTTGTATTACTAAAATAGTCATGCTACCAAACAAACCAAGCATTATAGGAAAGCTATAGATGCCTATCTCTGACTTTTTTTTTTTTTATAAACAAAAGGGCATTAAACCCAACAAAAAAAAACAAGCAACAAAAAATCTTAATAAGGTAAAGGCGCATTACGCACTCTCCCAAGAGACGTAAGATCAGCCATCTATAGAAGGTAGATTCCATCTGGGGGCTCTTCGAAGAAAATCTAGTCAGCCTGAGCCGATTCATTTAAAAGATAATTGGTCATCCAATCTGCACACATGTTTCTGTCCCTAAAAGTATGTTGAATGTGAACCTCCCACTCCTTGTCAATCCATATATGTATACGAGATAACAAGCGTATCTCACGAAATGTTGCACCAACTTTGGTGAGCCCACTTATTGCCAACAGCGAATCACTTTCCAAAATGATCTTCATATAGCCTACGTTCCAAGCCACTCAAGGTTATACAAGATACCCCAAAGTTCGGCTCTCAATGCTGAACAGAAACCAAGTCTACAGGCATAACCTTTTAACCAGTTCCCTTGTGCATTTTGGATCACAGCACCGTAGGCAGCCATGCCAGGGTTACCACGCGCTGCACCATCAGAATTGATCTTCACATAGCCCATTGCAGGAAATTGACAAGAAATGTTGAGTTGGCTATAATCACTTTTAATGCGAAGATTACCCGAACTACTAACAGCAACCTCAATATCCAACATCAGTCTCCTTATTATCTCAAGTTTGGAGTCAAGAATTGGGGTATCTTCTCCTTTATTCAACGCGTTTCTCCAATGCCAAATTTTCCAACAAGAAACCAAGAAAAAAGTTAGCCAGCACACGTTGTTAACACTCCTTGAAGAATCATCAATTTATCAGCCAGCCACATAGAAAGATCTTGACTAAAAAAATCAAGTCTCAACTGTTGAGGTAAGAATTTTTCCTATATCCCCTTTGCACATTTAGAGGCAGTTTCATGTCAACCGACTCGAATCAATTAAACCGCCGGAAATACCGCCTCTATGTGTCAATTGGAGGCAGTTTAAGTGAAACCGCCTCAGTTAAACAGCCTCCAAATACCAGTTTTCTTGTAGTGGCTACTATCCCTTAAAGCATGGAGAATTGTGTAAGAACCTGCACTGTTAATTAAGGAAATTAATCAGTTAATTATGAGTTTAATGAGATAATTCCATAATTGACCCCAATAATTATTATGAGGCTCTAATAATTATAGTAAGTGAGTAATAATGCTGAAAGTCGCTTTTCTGACGAAAAGTGCAGATACCGGTTCTGCTAGTCAGTATAAATGCATACCAAAAAAGTATCCCGGAAAATTATAATAAGTGCATGATAATTACTAGAATAACATGTAGGACTTGTAAAACGAGTTTCAAGTTAAAATAATGAGAAATGGTGCCAGAAACTGATACTAGCTATGAAAAGCGCGTACCGAAAAAGTGCTCCGAAAATTATAAGAAAAATATGATAATTCTTGTAAAATTGAGTAGGTTAAGAATCCCGAGTTTGGGATTAAAATGCTAAGCATAGCAATTAAATTTAATATTATTTGTTAGTGACTTAACCGCCTATATATAGTGCTTGGCACTAAACCCTAGGCTGATTCTTCAGCCACTCTACGTGAGTTTTTGTGCCTTGGGCTGCCGCCTCCTTCCCCACTTGGTCCTAAGGCTTTCTTCTTCATTTTCTCACCAAAGACACCATCTTTGGTCATTGTTTCTCTTTTTGATCAAGTAAACACTTGAGTGTGAGCATGGGTGAGTGCTTTAGGTGCCTTTTCTGAGTTTGAGAGGGCTGTGTGTGTGAGGGAAAAGGGTTGTTTCTGTGTTGGATGGTGTGGGAGTGCTTCCTTGGGTTGTTGGAGCTCCAAAGAGCAATCTTTGTGAAGAAAGATCCTTGCTTGGGTGGTATTTTCGTGCACCCTTGAAGTCAGAACCTTTGGAGTTGGTAGTGAGCTCCAAGGACACCCCTTTTGCTGAGTTTAAGCTTTTGGTAAGTTGTACCAACCTTGTTCATGAGTTTAATGGGTTAAAGTTGATGTCTTAGTATGTTTGAAGGGTTAAGCAAGTAACCAACTGGTATGTAAACCTAAATGTGCCTAAAAATGCATGCTTTGACGTTTGGAAGTGATAAAAATGGAACCTTGAAAGAATATCTTCGCGAAATATCCAGATATTTCCAGTGAGATATTCGGATATTGGATATCCTGATATTTCGAGTGAGATATCCGGATATTGGATATCCTGATATTTCGAGTGAGATATCCGGATATGGGATATCCTGATATTTCTAGTGAGATATCCGGATATTGGATATTCTGATATTTCCAGTGAGATATCCGGATATTCTGGGTTTGCGAGGAACAGTAGCGTATTGTTCATTCAGAACTGATCTATGGGTTTGTGGACCCTAGTTTGAGGAAGTTGAACTTCTGTAATTAATTAATTTAAGTCAGAATCATGTGATTAAGGGCTTATGGCTTGGTGAGAAGTCTTAAGACGTAAAACGTAATGAAAAGGCGTTGTCTTTATGTTGTATACTTGTAGAGTATGATTGTTGATGTATTATTGGTCCATATCAGATTGTGATTCTGCTGTGTTTGGACTTTGAGCTGTGGACTCTTGGCTTTGGATCTTAGCTTGCAAGGTAAGCTTTCGTGTCCTCGGTTTAGCCATGTTGTGGTTCCACCATGTCCCATGGGGGTATAGTTATATGCATGCTGTGTTACATGCTTTGGATATTTGAAATGCTGTTGAGCTTTATGTGTAATGGCTTTTAATATGCATGTGTTGTTCCATCTTGACGGTAAGCCTGAGTATGTAGCGTCATACAAGACGGTGATCCGGGGTGGATGCAAGTGGCGTCTTGCACTATGTGTGGGTATTTGGCGTATATAAATCCTGCATTTCTCTGGCCAGTAGAATAGAATTGACACACATGACATGATTATCTGCTGCATTGCACTATTTTAGAACTGATGATAAACTGCTTTTGAACTTATATTGCACATGTAAGTGAGCTTGGGGTTGAAGATCCTTGAGGACCCCTTGCCTTACTGATATTTCTTGTTTAGAGATCTCACCCCACGTTTGGGGAATGCTTATTTCAGGTTCCGGTAGTATGGGGACTGATGTCTCTGGCGGCAGGAGGCCAGAGCTTAGTTGATGTTTTGTGATGTTCATATTATGCTGGCATGAATGGATTGGATGATGTTTATGTTTTCTGCCTTTATCTTTATGTTGTTGTTGAGTTGAGACTTATGTGAGCTTTGTTGCCTTATTTGGGGTGAGCATGGGAGTTGTCCATGCCACCATGTTGTTAGTACTTTTGAGTTGATTTGTATAAACTGCTAGTTGGTCCGGTCTACGTGTTGTAGCTCCGTGACTAGAGACATACTTATGTTATTTTAATTAATGAGGTATTTCAGTTAGATGTCTTTTGCAATTTACATACAGGCATGATTTTATTTAATTGATTAATTAAGCAAGTTGGTAATGATAATGACGTCATAATTGAAAAGAAAAAGATATTCCGCATTTTTAATTAAGCGCAGCTTAATACGATAGTATGATAACATTACCGGATATATACGGGGTGTTACAAATTGTTTCAACACCTCATTTACAGCTCGGGCAGGTGCTGTCACCACTATTCCAATTCGCGATTCTGCTTTTAGTTAACAGTCTATGATGCATCAATTTCCATAAAAAAATTGACCTTTTGAGGACCCTTCCACACCCAGAGATGATTCCATAGCTTTTTGTCATCCTCCTCCACTCTCCCATGATCAGTAATGTAGTTATATAAAGCATTGGCAGTGACTACATTACTCTCATGTAGGTTCCACACATACCTATAAGGTCGATCAACAGAATTAGGAGGCAAGGTGCTCCTTATCAAATTGAAGATGTTATTTGGAAGCCAAGATCGAATAGTACCCATATCCCATTCTCTAGCGTTTGAGACCAAATCAACAACTTTTAGGTTCTCATTAATCACATGATCTTCTCCCATAACCAATTCCTCCAAAGGCCTAGCCATATGGAGCCACTTATCCTTCTAGAAGCAGACATCCAAACCATTACTTATCTCCCACATTAAGCTTCCTTCCAAGCAATGCCAGATCCT